AAGGCACTGTGGTTCTCACCTCCTACCTCCATGGAAATAAGCCAGTCATGCCCGTGTCATGGCCCAGGCTGTTATCTCTAGGTCTAGCATCAGCTACCTCAGTGTCTACTGACCTTCATATTTCCACCAAATTCTCAACAAGCTTCCTGAACTCAACACGGCCCACATGGAATGCCTCATACACACCTGCCACTTACTTAGTCACCTAATCCCAAAGCTTGCATGCCATCCCCAAGGAGGCCTTAGCCTCTCTCCTCCTCCTATCTTTTTATCACAGGAAGTTCTCAAATCCATCTCTCCTCTCTATCCCTATTATCATCATACTCTGGGCATCCTCTACCCTTAGGCAGACCCCTGCAATTGTATCCAGGCCTGCCCACTTCTCCAACTCCTCCCATGCCATAGAAAAGTTTTCACAAGGTATGAATCTGATGATTCCCCTACTTCAAGGCCTCCAAGCTCCCCACCTCCCTTCCACCCCCAACCTACAGAGGCAGCCTATGAGATTAAGTCCAGCTTTTCTCCTGAATTGCATTAAGGCCCATTTCTCTAGTCATATCTTTTCCCTGGGCATTCAGTGTCACCCTGTGCTCCCACACCTAGCATAGTGCTCCATATTTCTATGCCTTTGCACTTGCAATTCTCACATCTCCCCAAAACACCTCATGTTAGTTCCTGTGGCACCTCTGAGATGATCACAAGTGCGTGTAATCATTTTCTATTTCTAGTTCCTCACACATTTCACAATACAACATAGGTTCTCAAAAATACACGGAGTCCTTTGCTATTTAACTCAAACAATGATAGACTCATACAAAAGGTGTGAAACACCAGATTCACCTCCAGAATCAATACATTCATGGTAGAATGCTTGCTACAAACCAAATTATTCCCTTGAAAATCTTATTTATTGAATTTTTTTTCATATACCAGGTGTTTTTCATTGATTTCTTGATAATGAATACATGACTCACATTAGTTAGCAGTATCAATTTTAGGCCAGATTTAGAATTTTAGATTAGTGGTGCACAGCATTTATTGACTAGCGCGTATAAAACCTGTTCCATACTAGTCAGAAGTTACAAAGGAAAACATGTGCATACCCCATTTTATTGAGCTTTGCTTTACTGTGCTTTGCAGATATTGCATTTTTTTACAAACTGAAGGTTTGTGGCAACCCTGAGTCAAGGAATTCCATTGGCGCCATTTTTTTAACAGCATGTGTCTGTGTCAGCATTTTTTAGCAATAAAGTATTTTTAAATTCAAGTATGCATATTTTTAGACATAATGGTATTGCACGCTTAACAGACTACAGTATAATGTTCATATTGCTTCAATATGCACTGAGAAACAAATTTGGGTGACTCGTTTCATTTTGATATTTGCTTTATTGTAGCGGCTGGAACAGAACCTATGCTACCTCTGAGGTATGCCTGTAAAAGACTGGTATCATCAGAAGTTACAGTATCAGAGTTTTGTTCAAAATATTAATAACTACCACATGTTGAACACTTAACTATGTGCCAGCCAGGTAATTTTCACACAATCCTCCTCAAAAACCTGACAAAATAGGCAATTAACTCCATTTTACAAAAGAGTTACACAAATGACCAAGCTGGCATTTGAACCCAAGTTTCCCTGTAATTAAAATGTTCCACAGTGTTTCTCTAATATACAATGACCATCACCCCTACTCAACCACCGGCCTCCTGCTGAGATCACTGGCCACATCCACTGCCCTTCATCCAGCATGCCAACCACACAGGAGCACTTCATCTGTGAGAGAACTGAAAAACCAAGCACTAGGTTTATACTCACTACACTGCTGTTGTCCAATCAACCCCAAACGAAGTAAGACCAAGAACCTTTTCAATAAAACCTGTGTGTGTGTGTTTTCTCTCAGCAGGAAGGCACGAGAAGTTTTTTAAAAAAAATCCTTCCTTTTCAAGTATACTTCAAATGTCAAAGATTCAAAGTAAGATTCCATAAAATAGCCCTCTAGATCTAAATGAATCTAAACACTATGGAACATTTAAACATCTAGAAGTGGTCCTTACTGACAAATGCAGAAAACCATGCTGTCATCCAGACAACTTAAGCAGACTTGGTTAAATGCGTAATATCATACTTTTGCAAAATCAGGGATTTTGTTAGTATGACAATCATTATTTCAATTATTTGCTGCACTTCAACAACACAGACCATTGCTTATTTTTTGATATAAGCACCAATACAGGAGGGCACGTTACAATAATCTTGGCAGTCAAAATTGACCATTTCAGATAATCTATCTTGGTTTCAATTTCCATCAGCTATTGTACCTCTGAAGCAAACAAATGGAGATTCTACAGCAGCATCTGAAAAACCAACGGTATGGTACTTACCACATTAAAGTTGCTATCAGAAGACCAACACCTACACAATCTATGAATACAACCCAAAGGAGGAGCTTTATTGTCTCAAAAAATCCCATGTCCAGCACGAAGCCAAATCCTATAGTGGACACTGAAAGAAAGATTCACAAGATTCATTCAGGCACTCTCCTAGGTTCTGGGGATACAGAACACAATCCCTGTCCTCCAAATGCTCATAGTCTAGTGGGGGAGACAGACATGGGAACAAAACTCCCATGACATAATGGTATTGCACACTTAACAGACTACAGTATAACGTGCATATAACTTCAATATGCACTGGGAAACCAATTTGTGTGACTTGCTTCATTTTGATATTTGCTTTACTGCAGTGGGCTGGAACAGAACCTATGCTATCTCTGAGGTATGCCTGTAAAAGACTGGTATCATCAGAAGTTACAGTATCAGAGTTTTGTTTAAAATATTAACAGCTACCACATGTTGAACACTTAACTATGTGCCAGCCAGGTAATTTTCACACCACAATCCTCCTCAAAAACCTGACAAAATAGGCAATTAACTCCATTTTACAAAAGAGGAGACTGGGACAAAGAGTCCCAGGTGTGTGATTTGTAACTGAGGTAGAAATTCATAACACCTGGGAACACAGCAAAGGCACTGAGATATTTAGAGTCGACTGAGGAGGGCCCTTGCCAGCCTAGTTCCAGCATTTACACCAGCACTAGTACAGAGAAGGCGCTCACATATTTTTAGTCCAGTTAAATTTAAAGGTACACAACATCCTACATTTCACCATCTCAAAAACTTCAACACCCTAAAGGTGATCAGAACCCTTGCATCACAGCACTGGAGAACTTAAAAGTAGTTTCTCAAGTTCACGTCAGTACTTTCAGAACTCTCGCTCTGGATGTGCCTGATTGTGAAATGCAATTTCCAATCTCCACATTCCTTTACATAGTAAGTTGGCATTTGGGTACCAATTCATAGTAGTTAAAAGACATAGAGTGAATATTGTCCCCTGCTTTTCAAACTCCCCAGGCAACAGTTTACAGCATCTGCTTGGGACCTGTAGAACCAGGAAGAATACAACCTTTTTCCTGTGAGATTTTTGAGGCTTTATAAAAAAAGGAAGAAATAGCTTCAAACATCCACAGATTCTGACCTACTACACATTTATAACAAAAGATCCTCCAAAGACAACCACTTAATGTGTTCTTCAACTCTACTGCACGTAAACTGACACTTACCACAGAGCCAGATACTTAATAGGACCAAGAAAGCAGGGTCATCTCTGGCCCACTGGTCCTTTGTCTGCTTTCGGTAATGAAAGTTTCTATAAACCCTCTGTGGGGAAGTGAACAGGTAGAGCATCTGCCAAGCCGCAAACTCAAAGTCCATCTGCCGGAAACGAAAAAGCCTTCTCAGGTATTTGTAGCGTTTTGCTCCAGCCGTGTGTCTTGCTGCATCCCTGGAATTCAAGACTCCGTTCCCCTGCATTGAGGAATTCACTGAAGTACTTGGTAACATCTTCCTAGATGAAGAAAAAAAATTCTCTTACACATAATCTGAAGAAACTTTTGGCTACCAGCACCCCTCTTCTGAGTTATTTGGCAAAATCACGTTACATGTTCTTCACAACCCTAGAGAAGCGTCAGGAGTCAAAAAAGCAAATGCAGCTGGTTCTAAGGCTCGTTTTGGGGCTGGAGTACTGCACACTGCACCGCACGCAAGGGCAACACCTCGCCTTTCTGAACCACCGTCTGAACCACCCCGTAACACTGAGCCAGGGGCCACGCCCTCCCCACGCTTCACCTCCCTGTGCTTCTGCTTCCGTTCCCTCCGCGGATGGCCAGCAAGCTCCCCGTCACCAGAATGCGATATAAAAACAAAGCACTCCAGTCCCTAGTGTTTTACTCTCAGCAGGAGCAACGACAGCGTAGGAGTCCAGTCCAACCAGTCCGGAGCCCAGTGAGCGCAGGTCACCGCCCGGCCGCCCAGACCCCTCGCTCTACTTTGCAGGCCTCCGGGACACGGGCAGCGCCTCGCCGGCCCTCGCTGCCCGCTGCCCACTACCCGCTCGGGGCCGCAGGTGCGGCTGCCAGATTTAGCAACTAAAAACACAGAACGCCCAGTTACAGTCGAATTTCAAACAAGGAACGAACAATTTTTTGGTATGAGTATGTCTCATGCAGTATCTCGGACATGCTTACACTAAAAGTTATTCCTTTATCTGCGATTCAAACGTAACTTAGCGTCCTTGTTTTCTCTGGCAACTCTGCTGCGGGCCGAGGGGCCGGACCAGCACTCCCGGGCCGCAGGAACGCCACGCCGCGCGCTGTAGAAGGAAACGGCCCGGGCAGCGCGCGGGCAGAGCAGTCCTCCGGGCCTCACCTGGAGCCCTGTGGCGGCCTAGACTCGGGTCCGCGGCAGCCCACCACCTCCGCCCAGCAGCCGGGCCCAACCCCCGCCAGGCCGTCTTCCCTTCCGGCAGCGCAGCCGGTTCTCCGGACGCGCCGCGTCACCTGCGCCCACTTCCGCCGCGCCCGCCCAGCCTCTCAGGCTCCCGTAGTCCCCGAGGTCGTCCGGAAGTTGTTACGGCTGGCTTCCGGTCTGCCGCGGCGAGCTTTCCTCGCTCCCTACCTGGTCACAAACGTTGCAGACGAGTGGGGTCGAGGCTGGGGGCTAGCGCGGGTGGCAGGCACCGTCATGCCCCGGTATTACGAAGACAAGCCGGAGGGCGGTGCATGCGCGGGCGTGAAGGAGGACCTGGGCGCATGTCTGCTGGAGTCGGACTGTGTGCTCCAGGTAGCGCGGCCGGGCGCTCCGGGAGGTGATGACCTGCTCTGCAACCGGGAGGAAGGGCCCGGCCAAAGCTTCCCTGTCGGCCGGCAGTGGCGGTCAATAGCCCGACTTAGCGTTAGTCGTTCTGGGTAACGTCTCAGACAAGAGATGACATTTGAGCTGAATCTTAAAGGTTGAGTAGCAGTTTCTCAAGTAAAGGAGTGGGCACTGTGGTGGTTTAGGGTAAAATTTGAAAGAACACCAAGTGCGGAGACTGGGAGATGTGGACGGGCCGGAAGGAGCTAGTGCCCAGCGGCGTGACAGAAGGCTTGGGAGGAAGGTTGCAGCCAGATGTGAGGGGCCCTGTGTGTCAGGGTGAGAAGCTTGGATTTCCTCCCGACATTCATCATCAGGAAGGCCACAGAGTAGGACTGAGGAAAGAAATTGTGCCAGTGGAGGACAATACTGGTGGCTAGGAGAATTCTAAGTTGTTTTTTTGCAGTGGTTGATACAGCAAACATTTATTGAGTGCCAAGTCTCTAATTCAGGGACCAAATACTGATGAATGGGACATAATCTCTCCTGTGTAGAAAGTGGATCTCTGGAAGGCTAAAAAGCTGTAGGCAGAGATTATGACCAGGACACCTGTTACAGACTTTGCTTTCCCCCCATTGAGTATGTGGTCTTATTGATGCTGGGTTTGTTCAAGTAGAAGAACCTGATGCTTATAAAAAGCCCTTTTAATGGAAGTTCATTTAGTTTGTGTTAAATTCATCCTGAATGGTGTCTTCATCTCAGTCTAAAAGGGCATCTACCACCCACCACTCCCCACTGGGGACTCTGAAGACCAAAGGAACCTCTGCTGAGGTCTGTGCCTGTTCTGTATGGCCACCTGGCAGATGGATGCTGTCGTCTCTTTTTGCCAATCTTTAAGCCACCTGAAACGTGTGGCGCCTCAATATAGGGAGAAATTCAGCATAAATAATGTAGTTTTAGGTGCTGCCTTGGGAGATAGTCAAGGAGCTAGAGGAGCTCAGAGAAACTCCAGGTAATGGTGATAAGGATGTAAATTCTGGTGGGGATGGAGAGGAGAAGGAAAAAGCAGATTCAATAGGCATCTCTTGATAGACTTCTTAGGATTTAATTACTCTTAGGAGATCAAAAACATTGAAACTATGCCAGAGGAACCTCACTCATCATAGGGTATCTCCATTAACAGCTTCTAAACCTGGTGAATCTTCATCAGAATCACCTGGAGGTAGGAGCAGCTGAAAAATACAGATTTGACTGCTGTCCTTACCCCACCCCCAATAAGTTAAAAGTTTCCTGGGTTCGTTCTTGGGCATAGTCAGGTTTGGGAGCATTGATTGATCTTGACCTCGAAAGGCAAAAAAAACTCGGGAGTGCATTAGTTAGGATATAGGTTCAAGTACATGTTACAGAGACCCAGAATAACTGGCTTAAACAAGGTAAGAGAATTCTCTCTCTTGCTCTTGTGTCTATGCGTGAGGGCCTGTGTCATTTCCCTCAATCTTCCATGAACCCAGACACATGATCTTGTGGCTCTAGGTGCTGTGGTAGGAGATAGCATGTTACTCTCACACTTACGGTCCAAGATTGCTCTGCTTCCCATCATCAGGTCTAGTAACCTTATGGAGTAAAGTGGGGAAAGGGGACAAGCCTTTTTCCTTTCAGGACCAACCCAGAAATTTTATACCCTGTTTCCCACACATTGTATTGGCTAGAACTTAGTCACACAACCACATCCAGCTGCAAGGGTGGCTGGGAAATGTAGCCCAGCCATATGCTGGATAAAAAGGAAGAGTAGTCTGCCATTCAGGGGAGGGGATGATGAATTAATGTTTCTTAGCTTTAGTGTATCTAGATGGATCTTTCCACCTGGCAATTGGAATATAGGTTGAAAGCTTGTGAAAAAGGTAGTATCTTAAATACAGTTTGAAGAGGCATCAGCTTAATAAATTATAGTCTTTTATATAGTGATAGTCTTTTGTCTGCCTCCACCTTGTTTATGTGGGCAACATATTCCATCAGTATTATAGAGGTTGGGGAGGAATGTACTAGTGAAAGGTAGCTTGCAATTAGGATCCACTTTTGAGAGTCATTGATGTATAGAACCTAGGCAGACAACACATTAGAAAGTGGCCGAGATTCTTGGGGAACAGGAACACCATGGATGTAGTACCCTGTAGCTTTTTTCATAGTAAAAACTAGGGAAGTGTGACTGGCACTTGCAAAATCAAGGTTCGGGGAGTGGTTGCAGTGATGGGGTTAGACAGTAAAAATCTGATTGAGGGGAAGTCCCTGATTATGCAGGGCAGGTGAAATCTGGGTTATGTTTTTCCAAGTACTCCAGCCTACCTCATTAACATCTATGGAAAGTGTTTAGTACTGACACTAAAAATCCTCTGATTTTATTGCATTTAATTCACAATTCTCATCCATAAGGAAATTAAGATACCCATTTATCAATTTTTATATAAACATTTTGCAGAAAAGTATCCCATGGAAACTAGTGTTTTCAAGGACTCAAGATTGTGTTAAAGTACCCAAAAGTTACAATTTTTTAATTCTATCCCTTTTCTCTGTAAGCACCAATAGTCAAAATGAATTGAGAACGATTTCTTATGTAACTTTCTATTTTCCTCTGTTAACATTTTTAAAAAAGAGCTATTTTCAGAAGGACAGTTATTTTGTACTTGTGAGAAAATTTCCCAGGTGTTTATATTGTTTTATGTGTCATAGGAAGGAAAATCCCCTCGGCAGTGTTTGAAGGAAGGATACTGCAAAGCTTTGAAATATTCATTTTTTGAGTGTAAAAGATCAATGGTAAGTGGTTAAAGATTTTTAAAGCTTATGCTAAAAATTAGCTATGTGAAGTTAAATATATGAGTGACTTAATAGTTATAAATAAATTGCAGTGATGTGGTTCGGAAAAAGGATATAGATAGTTTTTCCTACTCTAGTGAGTTGAACATTAGATAGCATTCATGAAAGCCCGGAGCTAACTGTCCTGTTATTCTGTCACTGTGCCAACCACAGCTGCTGACCTGTGTGAATTTCTGAAAGTACCAGAATGAAGTCTTGGCAAGTGTAAATGGTTGAAAGTTGATGTTGGTCACTCTGAATTCAGGTCATTTGGCAATTATGCACAAATCCATAATGTGGAGGTGTAAGGTGTATACACTTTTGCCTTATGTGAGTAGGAGAAAATGTCAGTATCTGTGTTCGAATTTTGGAGTGATGGATTGTGGAAAAAGGGCCTGGGAAGGCATTACAAATCTCTGGGGTTCTCCTCTAACATTCTTTGATTTGAAAGATCTACAGAGATCTTTGGAATGGAAACTAAGAGCCTTTTCTTGGAGAAAGGAAAGAGTGAAATCAGAAATATGAGCATTCTTTTAAAGAAGTCACTTGGACTTGAGCATGCTTTTGTTTGTTTAGGAACTACACTGCAAATCCTTTTCTTTTTGTTGACAAAAGAAACAGAGGGTAGAGATATTTATGACCCAGGAGCAGTCATAAATAACTTGAGCATGTTAGCCAGAAGCAGGGAGGGTATACAGTTAGATTAAATTTGGCCAGGCTGTTTCCTTTCTCAGTGACACAGTTCTCTGCCATCTTTTCCTGTCATTTTATATAAAAAGAGAGAAGGATTTTTTTGCCTTCCCTCCCACAGTGTTGTTACCCAAGTAAAATATAAGGCTTTAGATTTGTTAAGAATTTCAGAGTGTGTTTAGGTAATAGAGAAGTCATGAAGAATACTTAGTGTAGAGATAGTGAATTATACTATGTAATCATATCAAATGACTGAATTTACAGTAAACTCCCCGAAATTCCCTGCTCCATGATCTCTGAAGAAATTAAGATATCAGAATTTTTATTTCTTTAATCTTCACAATTTATCTACCTTCTACAGAAATTTCTAACAATCCTGAATAAAAAGTAAGAAGTGCTCCTGACCATTTCTAAGTATCAATACAAGGCAGAGCTTCACTTACACTTTGACACTGGAAAGAGCACTCTAGGGAACTTTCTAGCAGGCTAATAGATGCTTACAGTCTTTGTTCAGGACTCACCATTAGTCCTCCAGAATGAGCAGAGTCATGTCACAACTAACATGACTTCAATCATACATAGTTGGCAAAGAACAGAAACATAACAATTGTGTTGGTAATTTTGCTTGCTATTTCAGTCCCACTGAAGATAAGATGGGAACTTTGAATCAACTGTTCCCACATAGTATGAGTAAGCACATCAGCTTATGATTCCCATGTTTAAAGATTATTTTTGAAAATATGGCTCTTAGCTTCTTCATCTAGTGCTCAGATGAATAAATGGCTGGCTGTCCCACACTGGCTGTGTTGGACCCATTGGTAGGGTTGGTTGCCTAAATAATTCCTTCCGGTAGAATTTCTGAGGAGTGATATTGACTATGCAATTTTGCCTTATAAACTGACTTTAGAACCTTCTGCTCTACCTCCCACCCTTAAGAAGTAGCTGCACTGTGAGGCTCAGTTAAAGAACATGCTGTCAGCCTATGAGGAGGTAATTGACTTGAAGGATTTTTAATCCCAAAATGATTGTGTTACTTAACATTTTTCAGGGCTTTTTTCCCCACTCCCAGTTGCAATTTATTTAAAGATTTCAAATACATTTGAATATTAACCTAAACCTAGAAAGTTTTCTAAAAGAACATGCATTGACTATAGTCCAAAAAAAAAGTAAATGTAACTTGGATTCTACTTGAGAAGAAAATCCTTAGTGATCGCCCTTAAGTGGAACTTTTGTTTTTAATACCATCTTTATTTGTTTCTGTGTTTGATCATGGTAGCTCTGACAATTGCTTTTTTGATTTTGCTGGAAACTGGTTTATTTCTCTTATGTAATGACGCCCCTTACCAAAATTGTGTTTATTATATTGTATCAAATTTGATTTAATTGTACATTTATTTTCAGTTGGATGCCAGATCAAGATTCAGAGGAAGAAAAGGTTATTGATACCATTATTGAAACCAAGATGAAAACAACAAAGGATCTTCTCTGGTCATTAAAACAGAGAAGTTAAAATAGGAAACACAGTTTTTGCTACATCTCTTTGGTTGGACCTACTTTTTCCTTCCATGAAACACTGGAGAAAATGGATGAGTTGTGTTTTTGAAGATGTATAAAGTAAATGATTCTCTTGATGTAAGTTAGTTTTAGAAAAAAAATTTAATTGAAAAGTTATGGGCCTTAGTATAATAAATGTGTTTTGAGAATTGTTCTAAAGCACAAAGAATAGACAGACTGTTATTTTCGGACTTGACTCTTCAATCAAATTACACAATTTGTACATCCTGAAGGCCACTGACACAATCTATAACATGGGGCCTTTCCATAAGATGTCTATTGGGAAAGTTTAGGATAAAACTTTTTCTTTTATTCAATCTGTCCTATTTAGTTCTAAAATAATGTTTGATTCCTTAAAGAAGAAATACTTCACTTGCACTGCTTCACTTAAGTTACAGCCTCAAAAGTTTAATATCATCCAGGATAGCTGGACGCCAAGCCTCAGATGATGTTGCCAGGTCTCTTTACCATCATCTCCTGTTTGTTTCCTGGTTTCATTTGCAGGCTGGCCCTCTCCACACAATGGGCCACTGTCAGCTACAGGCCCACATCCATAAGATCTGTGATCCAGAAAGGAGAGAACTGCCTTTTCCAGGGTCCACAAATCAAATCCTACACAAGGACTCTGATGTCCTCTGGATCATCTGCCCTTGCATTGGACCAGTCCCTGTAGAGAAGAGATGGGGACCTGTGCTCTTGGCTAGCCCTGGGCCAGATGCACTATCAATGATAACTCCTGTCAAAATCACATTGGATGAGTGGGGGCCCTTATGGTAAAAGGAAAGGGATTTTGAGCAAACTGAAACAAGGTGTTCACTAGAGAAAGCAAGAGTAAAAAACATGATGTGATTGAAAAAATTTAGCATTACAGTAATTTTATTCTGACACTTAATACAGTAGAGAGCCAAACAGGAATTGAAGTTTCCAGTTTTATTTCTCTTACTGAGGAATAATGAAGAGCCATAGTTGCTTTATACTTCACAGTTCATTGGAGTTAAAGCAATCAAGGTATTATATAGCTCACTTGCATTTTTAAAGGTTCACCCTAAAAGGCTATGAGAATTCCATACTAGCAAGGATCATTGTTGCAGGATATCACTGAAGTGTGTTATGTGTACTATTACTCACCAGGAAAGGGAAAATGATGGATTTTTCCAATAACTGTTGTATATTTAAGTGCTACAACTTTTATTAAAAGTGAAACTCTCTAAAATGTATTTTAGAAAACTCTGTCATATTTGTTTAGGACAACATTTTGATGAACTGCCAAAATTTTCCATAGTGGTCGTGCCATTTTACATTTCTACCAACAATGTATGAGGGTTCTAATTTTTCCACATCATTACCAACAGTTGTTTGTTGATCCATGAATAGTATCTATCTGTACTTCATTACTTTTTATTGCTCAATATTCCATAGTACAGATATTACACATTTTATTTATCCAATCATCAGCTTTGTTGAGAGCTTTATTTGGAGAAATTCACATACCATAAAATTCACCCTTAAACAGTACAACTCAGTGAATTTTAGTATGTTCAGAGTAGTGCAGCCACCACCACTAATTCCAGAACATTTTCATTACTCCAAAGAGAAACCTGTACCCCCGTTAGCAGTCACTTCTCATTCCTTCCAGCCCCTGGAAATCACTATTACACTTTCTGTCTCTGTAGATTTGCCTATTCCAGACTTGTTATATAAATGGAATTATAGAATATGTAGCCTTTCATGACTGACTTCTTTCACTTACCATAATGTTTTCAAGGTTGATCCATGAATAGTATCTATCTGTACTTCATTACTTTTTATTGCTCAATATTCCATAGTACAGATATTACACATTTTATTTATCCAATCATCAGTTGGTGGAATTTGGATTGTTTCCACTTTGGGGCTATTAAGACTAATGCTGTGAATGTTGGTCAACATGTTTTATTTCCCTAAGATTAGAATTACAGGGTTATATAATTCCAACTTTGACATTTTGATGAACTGCCAAAATTTTCCATAGTGGTCGTGCCATTTTACATTTCTACCAACAATGTATGAGGGTTCCAATTTTTCCACATCATCACCAACAGTTGTTAATATATTATTTGTCTATTTGGTTACAGCCATTCTGTGTATGAAATAATATCTAATTGGGATCTTGATTTTCATTTCCCTAATGGATAATGATATTTTAGCATGTTTCCCTGTGCTTATTGGCCATTTATATGTCATCTTTGAAGAAATGTCTATTCAAGTCCTTAGTCCAGTTTTCAGTTGAGTTATTTGTCTTTTTGCTGAGTTGTAAGAGTTCTTATATGTTGTGGAAGTCCCTTAAAGATAAGTGGCAAATTGTCCCAATTTGTGATTTGTCTTTTCACTTTCTTGATGGTGTCCTTTGAAGCACAATTTCTGATTTTGGTAAATTACAATTTATTTTTCTTTTGGTGTATATAAGAAACCATTGCCTAATCTTATGCTTGTGAAAATTCATTCCTATGTTTCCATGTAAGTGTTTTATAGTTTTACCTCTTACATGTAAGTCCATGATTCATTTTAAAAATAATTTCTCATGCCTTTATTAGTAACTATTAAAACATTTTTAATTGTGGTAAATAAATGTAAAATTTACCATCTTAACTATTTTTAAGTGTACCATTCAGTAGTGTTAAGTGCATTCACATTGTTATGCACTCAATCTCCAAAACTCGTTTTTCATCTTGCAAAAATGAAACTCTATATTCATTAAGCAACTTCCCTTCACCCCCAGCATTTCGTCTACCCCTGGCAATCACCATTCTACTTTCTGTCTCTACGAATTTGACTACTTAAATGCCTCAGGAGTGGGGTCATATCATTTGTCTTTTTTGACTGGTCTATTTCACTTGTATAATGTCCTCAAGGTTCATCCATGGTGTAGTATGTATCAAAATTTCCTTCCATTTTAAGGCCAAATAATATTCTATTGTATGTATATACCACATTTTATCTATTCATCTGTCAATGAACACTTGGGTTGCTTCCACCTTTGGGCCACTGTGAATAATGCTGCTATGAACATGGGTGTACAAAATATCTCTGAGACCCTGCTTTCAAGTCTTGTGTGTATATACCCAGAAGTGGAATTGCTGGGTCATATGGTAATTTTTAATTTTTTGAAGAACTGTCATAGTGTCTTCCACAGCAGCTGCCCCAGTTTACATTCCCATCAACAGTACACAAGGGTTCCAATTTTTCCACAGCTTCGCCAACACGTATTTTCTGGGTTTTTTGTTTGTTTGTTTATTGGTCATCTAATGAGTATGAGGTGGCATCTCAATTGTGGTTTTGATTTGCATTTCCCTAACGATTAGTGATGCTGAGTATCATTTCATGTGCTTGTTGGCCATTTGTGTATCTTCTTTGGAGAACTGTCTATTCAGGTCTTTTGACTGATTTTTCAGTTGGGTTGTTTGCTCTTAGGTTGTTGAAGTTCCTTATATATTCTAGATATGAACCCCTTATCAGATATATGATTTGCAAGTATTTTCTCACATTCTGTAGGTTGCTTTTTCATTTTGTTGATTGTATCCTTTGATGTGTACAAATTTTTAATGTTGATGTAGTCTAGTTTATTTTTGCTTTTGGTGTCATTTCCAAGAAATCACTGCTCAATCCAATGAAGCTTTTCCCCTTTGTTTTCTTCTAGGAGTTCTATAGTTTTAGCTTTTAGGTTATGTCTTTGATCCATTTTAACTTTTGTTTATGGTGCAAGGTAAGCGTCCAACTTTATTCTTTTGCATGAGGATATCTGGTTTTCCCAACACCGTTTGTTGAAAAGACTGTCCTTTCCTCAATGAATGATCTTAGCACCCTTATAGAAAATCATTTGACTACATATGCCAGGGTTTATTTCAGGGCTTTATATTCTGTCCTATTGCTCTGTATCTTATTTATGCCAATGACACACTGTTTTGATTACTGTAGCTTTGTAATAAGTTTTGAAATCAAGAAGTGTAAGATTTCCAGCTTTGGTATTTTCAAGATTGTTCTGGCTATTTGGGATCCCTTGAGATTTCATGTGAATTTTAGGGTGGATTTTTCTATTTCTGCAAAACATGCTGCTGGGATTTTGATAGTGTGTACATTGAATCTGTAGATCGCTTTGGATAGTATTCTTATCTTAATATTAGGTCTTTCAGTCCATGCATACAGGATGTCTTCCCATTTATTGATGTCTTTAATTTCTTCCAGCAAAATTTTATAGTTTTCAATATATAAGACTTTTGTCTCCTTAGTTTCCTAAGTATTTTATTTTCTTAATTTCCTTTTCAGATTGTTCTTTGAATGATGGGTTGGTTTTTAACATTTAACTTTTATTGTTAAAGATAACCAGTATACAGGAAAGTGAATAGGATGTATATTAACAAATAACTATAAATTGTCATGTTAACGTCCAGATCAATAGACCATTGCCTGAAACCCCTGTAATGCCTGACATTCAACAGAAACCCTCCCATTCTCTTCAAGTTTGCCATGCTCTGCTCTTAAGTTTGCCTTTTCCTTTGACCTGTTGAATTTGGGTCCTTGTGATGTGTTTAGAATAACTGATTATATATAGAGAAAAGCAATATGGTGAAGTACTTAAATAGGAAAGATTTCAATTGATGACCACAAAAATACCATTTTTTAAATCTCTTTATTCAATAAACTTTGAGTAGCTCCTTCATAGCAGCCATTACATTTGCTCTTGTGAATACAGAGGTAAAAGACACAACGGACAGGACAGGATATGCATGATGTAATAGTCATATTCGGCACTCAATGAGGGGAAAATTTTGTTTAAGGGCCAACTCATTCTGTGGGCAGATATCACCATATAGGAGAGTGTACCTGAAATGGGCTTTGGAGAAAGAATGAGGGGGCTTAGGAGTAGTCAGATCACAGGGAACTCAGACACAGACCAGGGCTGTGAGTGTGTGCATGGAAATTATGGGATGGGCTGAAGAGATACATACAGATCTTAGTGGCTGAAAGGATGATAACCCCTAGGTGGAAGCTGAGGTCATTTATCAGAGGGGCCGCAGCCAGCGTGGAAGAGGGGAGTGTGTGAGCATGCTGTGTTTGAGATGCCCAGAGACACTCAAGCAAAACGACTAGGGTCTGGTTGGCTGTGTAGATGGAGCTGCACT